CTTCTTCATTCAATTCCTCTCGTGTTTGCCTCCAAGACTTTTATAGTTCCTCTGTAAATTTTGATCTGACCATGTTGCAAGAAATCCGTGGAATACCAGATCACCATCGGTCGATGGTTGTTCCCTTAATTTTTGCAAACAAGTACCACCATGTTAGTAACAATAAGAGTTTTTTCACAGATGGGTCAACTATAAACGCTTCCACTGGATTTGGAGTATTCAACGAATTTCATAGCGCCTCATATCAACTGCAAAAACCCTGTTCCGTATACGTTGCGGAACTAGCAGCCATATTTTACGCAGTAGAGCAAATTGCCTCACTACCATCTGATCACTATTTTATTTTTACTGATAGCCTTAGCTCGTTGGAGGCTATTCGATCAATGAGGCCGATGAAGCACTCCTCGTATTTCCTGACCGAAATCCGAGCTAAATTGAGTACTTTATCTAACTGCTCCTATACTATCACCTTAGTTTGGGTCCCATCTCATTGCTCAATTCCGGGTAATGAGAAAGCGGACTCGCTAGCTAAGGTGGGCGCTATGGAAGGCGATATTTTTGATCGACAAATCGCCTTCGCGGAATTTTTTTCAATTACCCGTCAGCACGTCCTCACCAACTGGCAACAAAAATGGAATGAGAGTGATCTGGGAAGATGGTTACATTCTATTCTCCCACAGGTGTCGAACAAGCCATGGTTCAAAGGATTGGACATGAGCCGTGACTTTATACGTGTCATGTCAAGGCTCATGTGCAATCACTACTCGTTAGACTCGCATTTCTTCCGAATCGGGCTCGCAGGCAGCAATTTGTGCGCTTGTGGTAGTGGCTATCACGATATCGACCACGTACTTTGGTCATGCACCCTACATTGTGTTGCTAGATCCGAGTTATCCGCATCCCTCAGGGCCCGAGGAAAACAACCTATGCGGCCCGTTAGAGACATCTTGGCGAGCCGAGATCTCGATTATTTTAATTTAATTTATGTGTTTTTAAAACGGATCGATCTGAGGATTTAGTAGTTAGTGTCATCTTGTGTTCCCCCAAGTTGTTAGCTGCCCATCGGTGTACCCCCATGTTTGTCTTTTTCGTCAGTTGGTCGCTTAGTTCGAGATAAAAAGCACATTGCTCTCCAAACCTTGTGTTCTCAATCCCTACCCTGCCATCCATTTGTAACAATTTGTTACCCCTAACCTCGAGATAGCCGCGAGTAATCGGCCCCCGCTTTACTAACGTTAGTTTTAAGAAATTTTGTCATCCAAACAATGAATATCGGCTCCGCAAAGCTACGGCAAATGAGCCTGGAAAAATAAACGCATTATAAAAAAAAAAAAAAGATTGGCGCGTCGGAATCGGATGTTTTCTCAAACAATTGGGTTCTCTAAGGGTATTGAGGTAAATGCTTATTCGTAATCTGCATTAAAAATGGAACACAAACCCAAATTTTCATCAATTTTGGTACACTGAAACTATTTTAAATAAGAACGATTACATTTGCAAAAATCACCTTATTAGCGCCCCTCGGTGTCACTTTGTATGGGAGCGAGCTTTCAGTTTATCAATTTATCAGTTTAGTGTCAAACAGTGAAGTTATTATTTTGCTTTAAATCTTGATTTAAAAATCGAGATGAAAGTGTGTGGGCTCGAAAAAATATCGCTGTGTTCAGAAAACGAACCTCCTTCAGGTAATATATTAAAACCGATAATTTTTTTTTTTAATTAAAGAACCCAATTCGGGAGTTCCGCAAGGCAGTAACCTAGGACCGCTTTTCGATCTTTTTAAACGACGAACGTCGCCTTTCTGATACCATCAGGATGCCGCGTTTTTTATGCAGACGATACAAAAATCTTCAAAATTATTAAAAGTCTCTCGGACTGTTGGGATCTGCAGAATATGTTAGGTATTTTTGCTGACTGGTGCTCAAGAAATTTGATAAGTCTAAGCATCGAAAAATGTAACATTGTTTCCTATCACCGAAAAATCTCGTGTAGAGCACATAAAGGATCTCGGCGTTACCTTGGACTGCAGACTCACTTCAAAATTGCCGACGCCAGCTTCAAACCACGCAAAGAGCGATGTAACTTTAAAATGTATCCCGGCTTCAACATTGTCCCTTACGGTGGATGCATGAAGACCTCTTCCTTGAGTACTCCATTAAGAAAAGCTGTTTTAACGTCAAGATGTCCGAAGTGGTAACTGTTGTGTACACAAAGTGCCAGCACAAACCGTATGGTAGGAAGACGAGCAACTTGTACATACGATTTCACGAAATCTACTCCACGTTTCTGTAGAAAACCACGAGCCACCAATCGTGCTTTGAATTGTTTCGACTTTCAATCATCTGTTTGAAAACCCACTTTGAGCTGATGACCTTCACATTTCCAGGATTCTTCTCTACCATCTACGTTCCATTCAGCTCCAATGCTTCCACATCGGACTTTACAGCTTGTATCCACTGAACTTCATCCTCTGGACCACGAATATAATGATACAATAAGAAACATTCAAGAGCCATCGCAACATTCGCAGAAAGATCGTACTCTCCGGTTCTCATCCATGTAGGTTGTCGGCGACTCCGTTCTGGATTCTTAAGAACTTCCAGCGGCTATGACTGCTGTGCACCCTCCAAGAAGTCATCGTTCATATCATCCGACATGCTCCCAACTGACATGAATTCCTCCGGTTCTTGGTACTTATTGTCAGCCTCGTTCCTTTGGAATACCTTTCTTCAATTCATTGAATTTGACACTTCGCGAACAGACATTTTTCTATTTGACGGTATACCAAAGCCTCCAGCAGTTCACTCCAAAGCCAAGAAAAACACATTCCATTGCGCGGTCATCGAGTTTCTTCCTTTGTTCCTTCGGTACCATTGCAAACGCCTGACAACCGAAAATCTTGAGAGTCGAAAGATCCGGCATCCTCGAGAACCACGCTTCATATGGTGTCTTTCCCTGTATAGCGTGCGTCGGGCTCCAGTTGGTGAGATAAACAGCGGTGTTGAGTGCTTTACCCCACAGCCTTTTATCCTGATCAGCATCGACTGACATCGCCCGACGCCTTCATCTGCCTGCTGCGGTATTGTATTCTCCGCCGTTGTCACACCGTAGTCGCTTCATTGTTGTCTCAAAATATGTCGTTGCCGTTGCACGGGATTCAGTTGGTGAGATAAACAGCGGTGATGTACTTATATTCGTCGTAGGTGGCGGGGGTAATCGGACCGTACACGTCACTGTGCACGAACTCAAGCGGTTTTGTGGCTCTGGTTCGTGTACCACCGAAGTGTGCTTTCGTCTGCTTAGCACGTGCGCAACTCTCACAGAAATCCAGCTCTTCCGACAGCGAATCTCCAATACCAATGACCATGTCTCTTCTGAAGATGGCTGGAGGGACATCCGTTCCGCCATAGGTAGTACTGCTGCAGCGGCACTAGGTACTGCGATCCCGGACCGAAGAAATGACTGGTTTGACGGCGAATGCAAACTGTTAGTAGAGGAGAAGAATGCAGCACGGGCGAGAATGCTGCAACACCGCACGAGACCAATACAGACAAGCGCGGAACAGACAAAACTCGGTTTTCCGAAGGAAGAAGCGTCAGCAGGAAGACTTAGATCGCGAGGCGATGGAAAATCTGTACCGCGTAAACGATACACGGAAGTTCTACGAGAATCTAAATAGTTTGCGCAAAGGCTACGTGCCGCAAGCCGATATGTGCAAGGACTTGGACGGTAACCTTCTAACGAACGAGTGTGAGGTGATTGAGAGGTGGAAGCAGTACTATGACGAGCACCTTAACGGTGATGCAGTAGCAGTAAAAAACGAAGGTGGCACGGCAACAGACCTTGGAGAACGCGCAGAAGACGACAGGCAACCGGCCCCTGATCTTCAATAAGTTGAGGAGGACATCGGTCGGCTGAAGAAAAACAAAGCAACTGGTGTAGATCAACTACCAAGTGAGCTATTAAAATACGGTGGTGAAGCACTGGCTAGAGCGCTGCACTGGGTAATTGCCAAGATTTGGGAGGATGAGATATTACCGGAGGAGTGGATAGAAGGTGTCGTATGCCCAATCTACAAAAAAGGCGACAAGTTGGATTGCTGCAACTACCGCGCGATCACACTGCTGAGCCTACAAGGAACTCTCCCAAATGCTATGCCGCCGTCTGTCACCATTTGCAAGAGAGTTCGTGGGGCAATACCAGACGGGATTCATGGAGTCCCCGCGCTACCACGGACCAAATTTTGAACCAAATGCCGCGAATACAACGTGCCCACATATCATTTGTTAATCGATTTCAAATCCGCATATGACACAATCGATCGAGATCAGCTATGGCAGATTATACACGAGTACGGATTTCCGGATAAACGGACGCGATTGGTCAAGGCGACGATGGATCGAGTGACGAGCTTCTTGACTTCGCCGATGACATCGATATCATGGCACGGAACTTTGAGACGATGGCGGAAACGTGCATCAGACTGAAGGCTGAAGCTAGGTGGATTGGACTTGTCATCAACGCATCAAAGCCAACATACATTAAAGGAAGAGGTTCTAGGGAAGACAATGTTAGCCTCCCACCCCGAGTTCAAATTGACGGTGACGAAATCGAGGTGGTCGATGAGTTCGTGTATTTGGGCTCATTGGTAACTGCCGGAAATGATACCAGCAGAGAAATTCAAAGACGCATATGACAGGGAATCGTGCCTACTTTGGACTCCGGAGGACTCTCCGGTCGAATAAAATTCGCCGCCGCACGAAGTTGACTGACTACAAGACGCTGATTAGACCGGTGGTCCTTTACGGCCACGAGATCTGGACTATGCTCGTGGAGGACCAACGCGCCCTTGGTGTTTTCGTACGGAAGGTGTTGCGTACCATCTACGGTGGAGTGCAGATGGATGACGGAACGTGGAGGAGGCTGAGAAGTGCCAAAACTCTATAATAATAATAATAATAATAAAAAGTATGGATTTGTAGAATATCCAGAAAATAACATTTTATTGTATCAATGAGTATCAGCGGCTACTTACTGTTACATATGCCCATATAACGTTTAGCTTAAGTAAAAATTCACTAGATTAGACAATAGATTTGACACATAACGACAGTCTACGCTTTTGCTACAACATCCCATCACTTTGGTGCTACACAGAAACTACTGCTGCTTACCAATGTACGGAATGAACTCACGACCAAATTTGACGTTTAAGCGGTGCTCGCTTAACTTTAGAAAAGGACCTATCGACTTTATAAACAACTTGTCAGACCCTTTTCACGTGAACCAAAGAACGACCACACAAACCAAGAGCACTATCGGAAAGGAGACAATTTACCCTACCCGATGGTGTTGTTGGTTTGCGTGGGCGTACTTCGGTTCGCGCGAAAAGAGCTTAACAAGTGTTGTGTACAAATGTTGATGGGCCATTTTTAATTTATATGTTCATTTTTAGTAAACACGGCACCGCTTAAACGTCAAATTTGTTCGTACACTTCATTCCGTGCATTGGTCAACTGATTCCATTATCAATTTAAATATTCCGATCAAAATTCCACACTGATTGATTCCCTTTGGTTCACTTAGTTTTCCGTATCCTGCAACGTTTGCTTCATGGCTGCTTCAATGTGTTCCTCAAGCTTCGCAGTATCGCTCAGTGTCGGATGCCTATAACCCTCTAGGAAGTAGCACGTCAGCCCTCTGGCCTCGGTAAACTCCTTCGGCATAAACGAGGGATCTCTCGCTTTAAGCTGGAAGTCATATCCCGGATGTTTGATGAGCCATTCCTTCGTGGTTGGGCTGCAGTTGACCTTGCAGGCTTCGCTTCCCGATTCGAACTTGTTTGCAATGGTTACATTGTGTCCGAACAGGCAGTAGCGTGGCATTTTTCGCCCAACGACTCCAGTCAGGACCGTCCCGGTGTGAATACCGATGCGCATCTGAAATGATCGATAATGTTTAGTACTTACATAACTAAGATGAAGATGCAGAGCCATAAACTCACTCTAATATGCTGTCCATCATGCGTGTTGTACAGAGAGCAAGTTTCAATCATCCTCAGAGCCATCCATGCAACCTTATGAGCGTCGTAGATGCTCGCACGATGCAATCCACTGGCAACGCAATACGCATCACCAATCGTTTCCACCTTGTACACATCGAAGAATCCGCAAAGTTCATCAAAATGCTTATACAAACACTCCAACATGTTGATCACCATGAACGGCGTTGCTCTGGAGCAAATGCTAGTAAATCCAACTATATCGCTGAACAGCATGGTGACGTCCGAATAAGTCTTAGCATCAATATGTGCTCCAAGCCAGAGTCTCTCGGCAATATCCTCGGGGAACATCAATTGCAACAAGTTGACATTCTTTTTTCTTTCTTTGGTAACCGCGGCATTTGCTTCCTCGATCGAACTTTTCAGTTTGTCCATACGGCGACGGAGACCATCCTGAGCTCGAGCTTGCTCTCCGACTAGGATCACCTCTCTAGTTGCGTCGTGAAGAGGAATGTCGGAGATGAAGAGACCGTTGCAGGTCAGTCCTTCCAAGCCATCCAGAAAAGGAGATCCAACAAACAGCAGGGAATTGGACTCCGGACAGAAGACCATCTGTCCTTTGATCTCCAAACCTTTGGCGAAGAAATCCGGACGCCCCGGGGGAGCACGCAACGAGATCATGAAAGGCGTATTCGTACGGCGGACGATCTCTCTGAAGTTCAACGATAGTCCACGAGGGCGCTTGAAGCGGAAGTAGGTACATGCCGAAAGACCACTGGTCGCCATGTAGTTCTTGAACAAACGGCTAAAGCCTTGGCCAACCTGAACCAAATCCAGGTTTTCATCCATTATGAAATGCCAAGGAAACACCTTGCAGAAGAAATCATTGTCCATTTTAAGATCTTTTGTGTCGGAAGAGACGCTTTCACGCAAGGTTCCAGCAATCCTGCTATCGGCAACGAATGGAACAACCTGTTCTTCCAAATCATCCATCTTGAACAGATAACGATACCGGGGAACATCTCCATCCAACGGTTCCATATCGATTTGCGGATCGTGGTTAAACAGTCGACGGCTCAAGGCTTGCAGGCAACCCAGCAGAAGCCATGCCAAGACCGGTCGTTCCGAGGTAAAGATCAGCTCACCTTCACCGGCACAGACGAACCCAGTGTCGGAGATGTCTTCCTCCTGGAGCTTGAGTACGTCGTAGACTCCGTCCAGTGATCCGAGGAATTCCTGCAGATTGGAACCCAAACACTTGAAGGCTCGCTCGATAATGCCCACGCAGGCGGTATGGATGAGTTCTTCGCCCAGCAGGACCAAGATGTCGCAGGCGGAGGATTCTGTGGGAATTGGATTTGTTGAATTTAATATGTTTCGATTAATACATACAGAGCATTTGCGGTCACTAGTTTGAACCTAAACTCTGACACTTCAGCTGATAATTGATTGAACTACTTACCATCGATTTGATTTAAATTATCCTGAACATCCGCCAAATAGTCATAGTGGGGATAGATTGACAGCGAAATACGATCAGATTTCCTACAAACAAAGATAATATGCTTACAAACGTAACTACCCGGGATAGTCATTCCCAACTGTATACCAACAAAGTCCACCCCACATACCACCCACTACCGTCAACGGAAAACCAAAACAAAAACTTCGCCACCAGCACCAATATACTCACAATTTCGTCAGACCGGGCCACCTGTTGCAGTGCTTTCCAATCAGTGACATCAGCGCTTCGTACAAGTCCTCATTCTGGGCCATCCGAAGTAAAGCCGAACCGAGGACAAACACCAACGAAGGCAACATCAGCAGTACATCGGAAAATCCGAAAGAAAAAAGGTCAACTCAATCGATTGGTATACTGCCCGCAACCAGTCGCAAGGGAATGGAAAAAATGGCTGCCGTGGGGAAAAAAATATTGGAATCCTTACCGACGGAGCCGTCAGAAGCTGGATGGCCGCATTGAGATGGGTCAGGGTGAGCGCATCGTCCGGAATTTCACTCAAATCCTCGTCCAGGTTCCAACCGGATCCTTCGGCGAGCGAGTGCTGCCGATGCAGCATTTCCGCCGGGGCATGTCGCGTGAAAGGACAGGCCATCGTTTGCTGTCAAGCGATAATTTGTTTTTACTTTGATTGACTTTCATACGCTACCAATGATTCGAATTGTTTTCCCGTTCTGGGAGGATAACTTTCAAATGTAGGCAAATTATCACTTTTAAATATCTTCCGATGGCTCATAATCACTAATTTATTTATATGCGTTTTACTACCTAATTTGGTGGAAATGTTCCCTAACTGTTGGTGTTAAATCGTAGAAAATATGATCAAATAGAAGACACTTGCACTTACCTTGTGTTGGCAATAAATTTAAAGTGAAACGGATAAGCAGCTACTAGGATTACTGCACGATTTGTTGCATTGGAAAAATTTCCACAGTTATCAATGCAGGAAACGAAAAAAACCTAGTTTTGTAAAAGCAGATTGATCCACCTAACAGCCTAGTGGTGCCTTTGGGGCAGTAAGTTTTGAATAATTATTGCTTCAATTTCCTGTAACTGAGTTATAACTCGCCAAGCAAAATGTCATCAAGGTAGATTTATAACATGCTTAGGCAGCTCAGCCTGGCCAGTGTTTAAATCTGCAGTATCAAAGCTAATCAATAGGTTTAGCTGACCAAAGGTCCTTTTCTGATTAAAAATTGGATTTTCAGGCTATCACTTTGTCAGTCTATTTCTTTTTTAATAATTACTTTATTTGTACAGACTCAATCGAATAAACTTAACAGAGCCGAGTTATCATTTCCGTTATACATTATTACTGTCTTATATTTAAAGTTAAAGGAACTGGACCGAGTACTCACGGTTGTCTCAAGGTTAGTGGAGATTTACAATTTTTTGGATGGGAAAAGGGAAGAAGGAGGTTTAAAATGTGGTTTACGATACAAATATTTAATTAATCCACATGAAATTATTTCTATTTATCTTGAAAACAAACATTGAAAAAAAACACACACGTACAAAATACAAACTAAACACAAGGTCTGTCAAGGTGAATCAAACTTACAATCTTATACCCCGTTCACATTACAGCCTATATCACGTAATATAGGCTGTCTTGCAATGAGCACTCATACAAAGGATTTCCAGTGAAAACTAGATGTATGAGTGCTCATTGCAAGACAGCGTATATCACGTGATATACGCTGTAATGTGAACGGGGTATTAGGTTAATATTCTTAAAGTAAACATATATGAGTTTCATAAACTCCAGATCGCGTCTAGCCAAAATATCCCGAACTGGAACATTAGGTTGTCTACCTCGAGCCCGAAGGGAATCATAAAAATGTGATCTGACTCCACGATACTCCGCACAAGACCAAAGGATGTGATCAGCGTCCTGGCAACCTTGTCCACATTCACAGAGATTGCTGTCTCCCAACCCTAAGTGTCCAAGTGATTGGACATGAGGCGAGACATCACGCGTATGAAGTCTCGACCCAAGTCCAACCCTTTGAACCATGCAAACTTCGACACCTTAGGGATAATTGAATGTAGCCATCGTCCCAAGCTCCCTTCCCTCTATTGGTGTTGCCAGCTAACGAGCGACTGCTGACAATAAATAGAGAAAAATTCACTATAGGCGATTTGTCGATCATAAAAGTCGCCTTCCATAGCGCCCATCTTCGCAAGTGAATCCGCCTTCTCATTGCCCAAAATTGAGCAATGTGAAGGGACCCACGCGAAGGTGATGATGAAAAAGGGCACGGATAAAGCACTAAGCTCTCGTATTTTCAAGAGAAAATACGAGAAGTGCTTTACCGGTCTAATGGAACGGATAGTCTCGACAGAGCTGAGACTATCCGTAAAAATAAAGTAGTGGTCTGGAAGAAGTGAAGCAATAGTTTCCAAAATGTAGTGAATTGCTGCCAGTTCAGCCACATACACAGAACAAGGAGCTTCAAGTTTTCGAGAGACGCTATGAAATTCATTAAATACACCAAAACTAGCGGACTCCTCTATTAGAGATCCATCTGTGAAAAACGTTCTTGCAGAATCAACATGGCCAAACTTTGCAGAGTATAATGAGATTGCTGTCTCCCAATCATAGGACGATGATGCTCTGGAATTCCGCGGATTTCCTGCGTCATAGATAAATCAAAATTCACTGAATTGCCGAAATCGGAGAAGACTACACGATTGGGAATATTTCTCGAAAGGCTGAATTCCTGTGTTAAAGTCATAAAACATGTTTGAGGATTTAGCTCCAGAAGCTTCTCAAAGTTTTCGATCACCAGTGGGTTCATTACTTTGCAACGGGTGAAGAGCCTCAGAGATAACTCTGAAAAACGGACGGATAGTGGCAACATGCCCGCCAGCACTTCGAGACTCATAGTATGAGTCGAGTTAGTGCATCCTAACGCGATACGAAGACAACGATACTGGATCCGTTCCAGCTTGATGATGTGTGTTTTAGCTGCCTACTGAAATCAAAAACTACCATATTCTAGAACCGATAAAATCGTTGTCCGGTACAACGTCAGAAGATCTTGTGGATGGGCTCCCCACCACGTTCTGGTAATTGATCGAAGGAAATTGATCCTTAGTTGGCATTTTCGTCTCAGATACTCAATGTGGGATCTCCAGGTGCATTTGGAATCGAACCAGACCCCGAGATATTTGAAAGACATGGAATGAGTGATCGGCTTACCCAAAAGTCGAAGCTTCGGTTGTGCAGGGCTATGCTTCTTAGAAAAAAAATGACCAAATCAGTTTTCTCCGTGGAGAATTTGATACCTAGCTGAATAGCCCAAGTAGACAAGTTGTCTAAGGTATCCTGTAAGGGTCCTTGCAGGTCGGCCTCTCTGGGCCCTGTCATAGACACTACGCCATTTTTTTTAACTCTTTATTTGTTTCAAATTCAAAATAAATTACATTTCATTTTAACCTAGGTGCTCCAGTTACTACAGTAACTTACCAGCCTTAATTGTTATGATATATATCTAAGTGTTTTTACATTGTTCCTGCCTTGGCAATTCAGTATTTTAAACAGGTTTTTTAAACCTGCATGTCAGTATAACAATTGAAATCTTAAAACTAAAAACTTACACTAAATCTTATCTAAGTATAAAGAGAATTAATCGTTGCAATTGAGGATTGCAACGATTTTTGCCTGAAATTATTAATTATTTTGTTGGACATTTGTTCTAAAGTCTCAGCATTCGAAATTCTATGTACCTAAGTAGTACTGTGCCAGGGAGGCAACTTCAAAATCATCTTCAGAACTTTGTTCTGAATCCTTTGAAGTGCTTTTTTCCTGGTAGACAACTAGACCATATTGGCACAGCATAAAGCATGGCCGGTCTAAAAACTTGTTTAAATATTAGAAGTTTATTCGTCAGGCAAAGTTTGGATTTCCTGTTTATAAGAGGATACAAACATTTTATATACTTGTTACATTTGGCTTGAATGCCCTCAATGTGATCTTTAAAAGTTAATTTTTGGTCAAGTACTAATCCAAGATATTTCACTTGGTTTGACCAGGAAATTGGAACTCCGTTCATAGTGACTAAAGGGTGATACGGTCAAAATTTGGTCAATATCAACTTGACGTATTTCTTTCAATTTTGCATTTAAAAAACCTGAACACCCCTCATTTTGAAGGTGTGTGTGTGTAGAATGTAGCTCCTATTTTGATTTTGGAATTCACTCTTCAATTGTCAAAATGCCGTCCAAGCAAGAAGAGCAGCGTATCAAAATTTTGCTCGCGCATCGCGAAAATCCGAGCTACTTGCACGCAAAGTTGGCAAAATCGCTAAAAGTTGCCAAATCAACCGTTACAAATGTAATTAAAGTGTTTGGGGAACGTTTGTCGACAGCCAGGAAGTCTGGATCGGGGGGAAATCGAAAACCGGAAGCCGCTGAGACGACAAAGAGAGTTGCCGGTAGTTTCAAGCGAAACCCTAACCTCTCTCTCCGAGATGCCGCAAATAAGCTGGGTGTATCGTCTACAACCGTGCATCGAGCCAAAAAACGAGCCGGACTATCGACTTACAAGAAGGTAGTGACTCCAAATCGCGATGATAAACAAAATACGACGGCCAAAGCGCGATCCCGGAGGCTGTACACGACGATGCTGACGAAGTTTGACTGCGTGGTAATGGACGACGAAACCTACGTCAAAGCCGACTACAAGCAGCTTCCGGGACAGGAGTTTTATACGGCAAAAGGAAGGGGAAAGGTAGCAGATGTTTTCAAGCACATGAAACTGTCAAAGTTCGCAAAGAAATATCTGGTTTGGCAAGCCATCTGTACCTGTGGCTTGAAAAGCAGCATTTTCATAGCTTCCGGGACTGTCAACCAAGAAATTTACGTGAAAGAGTGTTTGAATAAACGTCTGCTGCCTCTCCTGAAGAAACACGGTTGTTCCGTACTGTTTTGGCCGGATTTGGCATCTTGCCATTACGGTAAAAAGGCCATGGAGTGGTACGCCTCCAACAACGTGCAGGTGGTTCCCAAGGACAAGAACCCTCCCAACACGCCAGAGCTCCGCCCAATTGAGAAATACTGGGCTATTGTCAAGCGGAACCTAAAGAAGACCAAAAAAACTGCTAAGGGCGAGCAGCAGTTCAAGACAAACTGGTTTTCTGCGGCGAAGAAGGTGGACAAGGTGGCTGTACAAAATCTGATGGCAGGGGTCAAGCGTAAGGCCCGGCAATTCGGATTTGGAAAAGCGGAAGCCTAACTGAATATTTTTCCTGAATTTTATACTAATTGAACTTGAAAAAGAAATTTAATTTGATTTTTTAAATAAACGATTTCCCCGATTTACACGCGTTTTCCCTTGACCAAATTTTGACCGTATCACCCTTTATGTGACTACTACTAGGTTTCAAAAAGGAAGCTCTAGGCTTATGTGGAAATATTATAAGTTTGAGGATATAGAAAATTCCATCATCACTTGGAGCTTTCATATTATGAAACTTTTGACGTAGGACTACGTCTTTGATTTCTATATGGGGGTACACTTTGTGAAAACCGAAAATGGAACATGTAACAAATAAAGAAAGATTTAGAACGTTAATAACTCAGCTGCCCCTGGTCCAATTTTAATAATTTTATCAACAATCGATCAGAAATATGGCTACGTGCGAATGTTGATTTTCAACAAGAAACTATTGAAAAACTGGTAAATGTCCAGCATTGTCCAAAAGCGTCGAATTAACTAACAAATCCACCAATTACCTACATGCATATGCTGCTTCCCCAGCACAGTCGTCAGAGAGTAGTAAGTAGACGAATAGGGAGGACGGAATTGTGTAATATTTTGCACACTCATCGCCATACTCAGAACCACACGCTCCCAACGACCACACCACTGTGTGGTGGTGTTCGGTCGTCGAAATTAGTAGCAGCAGTAGCAGTGCTTTCG